TTTATCCCTCAATAAACATCACTAAAAGTAAATTATCTGTTTTGATTAATTTCCCAATAGTTGTGAAATCTTGTTCCTTTACACTGAACAGGTGACTGCAAATGAAAAGTACATAATTTACTGTGGAACATTTTTGGACATCCTCAGGTTGCAAAAGAAGCTAAACATGTGTAAGCTTTCTTTAAAAGACTCTTAAATAGCACATCATCAAAACATTTAATGATAATTTAACAATAGAACATCCTCAGCATTTCCTTTATTAATGCACTTCTTTTCTCAAAGCATTCCATTGAATATTATCCATAATTTGCCTTTCACAAACTGTAACAAATTTCAATTTTCTTTGAAAAATCTGAATTCTTTTAATTTGTGTCAAGATGCGGAGTTCCAGTTGTGTGAATGCGGATAATATTGTGAAATGTGTTCCTGAAATCCATTGGGTATAGATAAAAAATAATATAACTCATGATCGTTCGTGTAAAAACTATCTCTACCTATTGATTGACAAGTTCCTTATTGCATACATAGTAGATGCCAGTGAGCTGCAAAAGGGCAATTCAATTAATTGACTTGATTTAAGAAATGCCTCAAATTATTACTGAATACCAACCCAGCTGTTCAGTTTAGCTTGTTTGACGATCATCATTTGTGAAATCATTTTTATTGCTCCTTCTCTGATGAGTTATAATTAATGCACAAATGCATATAATACCTTATAACACAGGTGAAATAATAACACAGCAATGCGCACAAGAAAGGCAATTTTCCTTGTACAAATCCTGTAACATGTCTTACATTAGACATTATGGAGTGGAATTCTACATTTGTACCATATGTAATCATGGAATGAAGCAAATACACCATTACAGTGGTCTGATCTTTTATACTGCAGGTGTTTACACACTAAGTATCTCTATGCTTGAATTTTCTTGCTGTTTTACTCTTACCAGTCAATTCATGCACCCTTTGCATTTTTGATCTTTATGATGTCTCCTCCAGTCCGAAGACCTATACTCTTAACTTTCCTGTAGTTACACTAGATAAAATGGTGTAAAATTAAGTTCAGATTTTGAGCATAGCAGGGAACAATCATTTTCTTGTATTTGTCATAATTTTTGAGACATTTTTAAAATCTATATATCCTCACCATTCTGTACATTACTTATTTCAATACATTTAATTACATCAGCATAAGTCACATCAAAAGCTGAAAATTGTATATTCTTAAAGAAGGCATGCCTAAAATATTTGTGCATGGTTTGAAATTTAGCACAGACTCTTCCATTGTGGAGTCTTAAGCCTGGACTTGGCCTGGGTGTCACTTCTTCTCAGGGACAGGTCAGGTGTCTTCCTATGATCACATAGTTTTCAGCTCATTGCATATGCATGAGTACAACGTGGAATCTTATGAGGCAAGGCAATGCAGGAAGCTCTCGCCGCCACCACCAGGACCTTCCAGGTTGGAAGATCTAGGGGCCGTATTTAAAGGCCACCTGTGCATCCGATACAGGCCACGTGATCCTTCTGGTTATCTCCAAAACCCCTGAAGATGTCACTCACCAGCAGCAACTGACCCCACAGTTCACTAAAGGACCTGCTTCATGCTGTCCAGGAAAGGTGTATGGCCTTCTGCCTCATAGATGACGAAGCAGCCTGGATTGAGGGAGCTATGCACATCAGCAACCATGTGCTGCAGAAGAGAATTAATAATCTCCTGTCCTTCAGCTGGGTAAATAGCACTGGGCACTCACTGCTACCTAACACTCAAACACATCACTCAGTTTAACTGTGCCAGTGCAGACGAGTGTCACATGGGATGCTCACATACAAGCTTACCCAGCTTGCCACTCCCTCCAAACCACACACCATCCTGATGTGGAACGGTAACATGTTCCTTCATTGTTTCCAGATCAAACTCCTGGAACTCCCGTCCTGTGAGTGTCCCTACACCCCAAGCAGTCTAAGAACTCCAAGAAGGCTATTCATGACCACTTTCTCAAAGACAGTTAAGAATGGGTAATAAATATTGGCCAAAACTATTTCTGAAGATGTAATCTCCAAAATCTCAGAGGATTCACCAGTTCAACATTCACGTGCATCCTCTCTGGGCACGAAGACATTCACCTCAGTGGGTCCAATGTCAAGATTAGGCTTGGGACCACAATTCTGTGAACACATCATGAACATTGCTTCCTCCGTTGGCTGTGAACCCATGTCCGCAGTCTTGGATACTTGGAGAATTGCTGGAGACCAGGTCCAAGCTCAGCCCCTTACAGATAATGATCCTCAGGTCATCCATTAGACACATGTTGGAAGTGCAAAGTTGAGGGGAAATATCAGGAAGAGCTGCCAGAGATCCTCTGTTGTCCAGAGCATGGGCTGGAAGATTCCATCCAAGTTTTATATGCTATTGTGTATCTGGTGTTTTGTATGCCACCAGGAACCTAGAAAGAGAAGGATTGTCAGCCAGGCATGCAGAGGGACACCCAAGTGGTTCCCTGCTGCTTACCTTCCTCTCTGCGAGTGATAACATCACTTCCAGCACTCTGAGGAAGGTGCAGCTGAAATCTGTACAGGAGATTGTCAGTGTGCCAAAGCCCTCTATATCTGAAATACCCAAAGGATATCCACCAAAATCATAAGCACTGCTTCATCTCAGCTGAGGAAGTCAGGGGCAATCCTGGATGTAGTGGTAGGCAGTGAACAAAGATGGTATTTTGAAGGCATATGGGTGGCTCAAGTGTTTGTTCAGTGTATATACTCTGCACTGCCTGTAGATGTGCTATCATCTCATCACACCAGAGGGTTTCAACCAGTGTGCTGTGGCAAGGTGAGAAATGTACCACGAAATTCTCAGGAAACAGGCCCACCCCACGTAGATTTCCAATACTGTACCCGTACAGAAGATGGGAAATTGCTGGTAATGCAGCCTACTTACACATTCACTGAGCCTGACATTCAGTTCCAGCGTGTGCAATAATTGAGAATTGTATCGCCAGGATGAGAAGAAACTGCACATGCACAATAAAGAGGCGTGCAACTCTTGAACTGGCCTGCTTGTCTAGACATGTTAGCATGGATTTTAAGGTGAACATTTTTAGAATTTTTTTTTAGTTAAGCCACTTACAAAGTCTTTGTTTCTAAGAAGAAATGTGTAACTTTTTTTGTCAAGAGGTCATTCCTCTGCTCATTCAAGTCATGAAACATCTGAACCCAAAGGAAAAAAAAACAAGAACTGTTCAGAGACAGTCTAATGAGAGCTATCAGGCCTTTGGATTTTCATGGACAGGAAATGCTACTTGCCTCTTAGGTGCATGTCTCACCTGCAGAGTGAAGTTTGCAAATAGTTGAGTTGAATAGGTTTTGAAAATGTGTTTGTGCTTGCATGTTCTCCAGTGGATTTGAAGCATTAATGCTTTTGATTTTTCTTCATTTCATTTTATGCACTGTGTTGTAAACCTCTTTAGTGAGGCTGTAACCATAGTAAATAAAGGTAAATGTGATGTTTATAAGCAATTAATTCAGCTGAGAAAAGTGGGTGCACCATGGAATTGTTCATTTCAATGAGGTATACCTCGATACTGACAAGGTTGGGAGACACTTCCAGATACTTATGTGATTGTCTGAAGTGAAAGAGGTGGAATATCTTCTTCCATCAGAAGGTGATATTGGCCTTCCATCAGCACACTTTTTATTTCTTTGTATCATTAGCAATGTATATGTCTCAAGTTGTTGCTGTTGCCTAAGGACGGATTGTTTGGGATAACACCCAGTGTCCACGAGATTGATTTCAGGGACATTTGGCCTTGTCAGATGAGGTGGGAATAAGAAGAAAGGGCCTATGTTCAACATATTGCAGAGAAGGCAGAAACACTCTGTGTGAGCAATGAAGAACTGTGGCTGGGCTCTGCAGGGTACCTACATCCAATCTAACTATGTGCAGAGCTACAGCAGGAATGAGGTCCATTCAGTGAAGTCGATGTCATCACCAGAAAAGAATATTGAGAACAAAATAATGTGAGTTTGGAGATATAGTTGATCAAGTGTTGGCACTTCCACTTCTAATTTAATCTTCTGATTCTGGTTCAAGCCCCACTCAGAAGACTAGAGCACATTCTCTAGGGTGACACTTTAGTTCTGAACAGAAGCAGTTGGATCTTTCAGATAACA